TATAATATATATATATATTTCTGAGCAGACAGCAGTGTTCTGCCCAGTTCACAGAACTGGAGGCTGAGACATTTGCTCTCCTTTTCGCCTTCTTCAACCCTTGTGGCAACAATGTTCCGACAAACAGAGAAATAAAATAAAAAGAAAGGTATTTAGCAGATGAGTTTCGCCTATAACAAGCTTTTCTAGTACTATCAGCACAGCCCCACTGCTGACAAATTTGAATAGTGCAAACTAGTTAGAGGCAGTGGGAATGTGCTGAAAAAAATACCCATTAAGGTCTGACAACTTGGGGTTTTTTTTAAGACCCTCAGAGTTTTTATCCACTGGAGTCTCCCTGCCTGCCCCAGGAGCTATGGATGTACCCAGGGATGTGGAAAAGGGACGTTTGTACGTTTGACGTAGACGCTCCCCTTCCCCAGAGCTGCCCCACCTCGTCCTCCCGTCAATCCATCGCACCCCAGCTCGGATGAAGCCCATTTCCCTGCTGAGGCTCCAGGGGTTAAGGTCAAAAGGTGGAGAAGAATGAAGTGTCCCATGTCCCGGCTCAGGAGACTGGAAATTGTCCCATTGCTTGGAGATCCCTTTCCTCAAGTGCCCAAAACCAGTGGAAGAACGTGGGTTTGCCAGGCTGGAGTGGTCTGTGGTGGGTAGGAAAGGGCAGGTAGCAGATCTGGGACTCTCTCGTCCCCACACACACGTCCCTCTCCCAGCTGAGGCCTGGGACACCGCTGCCAGGTCCCGGTGCACTGAAGTTGGCTACGATGGGGGCAATCCCAGCTATGGCCCCTCCTCACAAGCTGCAATTTCAGCCTTTGGAAATCTTGGAAGGAAAGAGATGACGCAGGGAGCAGGAGTGTGCTTGTCACGTGGAAAATCCAGCGCCAAAGGGACCGCAGCGGGCAGAGCAGACGTGGCAACATCCTTTAAAGGAGGTGGCTGTCACCTCATCCCCAAGCAGTGGTCCTTACCCATCGCTCCACCGCTGGGTTTGGATCCAGCTGAGGTGTTGGGGCTATGGAGAGAAAAGCATCCCAAGATGAACAGCGGGTGAGAAACCTCAGCTATGGGACCTTCTTCTTCACCTCCCGTTGGGGCGAAGGGGACCACATCGGCACTGCCACCAGATCCTGCTTCCCATGTCACATCCAGCGGGCACCGCGATTCCTCTGCACCGCGCAGAAAGGTCCCTCCTCCACCGAGGTCTTGGCCAAGGATGCTCGACGGTCTCCAGTGCCTCAGTTTGGGGGCTACGCACACGTGAACACGCATGAACACACGCTGGCACTCACGGCAGGGATCGGGTGTGGACTCACTCCTCCGCTCTGTGGAAACAGCTCCACTCGGAGCACGCGTGGCACAGCCTGGGGCTGGGGGCAGCCCCCATCTTCGCTGTTCCAGGGCTCGGTCAGGGTCGTGCCGGTTCCCAAAGCACCTCGTGGCATCGCCCGGCGGCAGGAAATGCTCCTTGGAAGCCCTTGTGCTCATTGCTCTAACAGTGTCAAAGTTGGCCATGGAAAGCCACGATCCCCTGGCTGAGAGGAGTTGGCTGCTGGTTTGTTCGGGGTGAGGGGGGGAGCTTAGCCCTTGTCCTGCGTAAGAGGAGCTCCCTTCTCATTCATGCTCTTTAAAAAAACAGAAAGAGAGACGCAGAGGAGAGAGGCATCAGTGGACGGGCAGCAACACAAGGGCAGAAGCAGAGCCCTGCTGTGCTGTGGACATGGCCCTGCTCATCACAACCTCTCAGGCTCCTCCTGATCAATGGAGACGTGGGAGCCCCAGGCTTCCCCTCTGCCCCATTCAGGCCAAACTGGGCCCTCCACCCTGGCCTTTGGCTCCTGAATGTTTCCAACCAGGGCTGGACCTTCTGGGTACAGGTACAGGCCAGGGGAGGGGTGGAGGAGAGACCACACCATCAGACCCAGACACTGGTGTCCCAGTACAAGGCTGCTTTACAGAGACCGTAAACCTCTCCTCTTGGGTGCAAGATTCCTCCTAAACCCGGGGTCTCAACATGCAGTCACCTTTGTTGTGAGGCTCTGATAGGGCCAGCACTGCCAGGGCCACACTGTCCCATCCAAGTCCTAGGATTAACGCAGACAAATCTATGGCCTGCCCCTGCCATGCTCCTGCAACAGATCTGGAAGGGCACTTTGGGAGCCTCTGCGCCTACTCTGCGCCTACCCACGACCCTGTCTGGGCCCTACAGAAGTCCTTGGAGGTAGGATCAGGACATGACAGGGATGCAGCAAAGCAGCGCCCAGCACCACGCGCTCAGCGGGGTTAGGGTAGCGCTAGCAGCATACGCACCGTTCCTTTTGGGGTGTTGCCATCAGCCTGCAGGTTGAGAAACGGGTTAGTCTGTGCTGTGAGGACGGGTGCCATGCCCGTCCCCGAAGCCAGGAGGCCGCTCCCGGGAGCGCTGAGCGGTGGAGTGGCCTGGGGAGCCAGGAGGGCGCTGCTGGGGTTGAGCTGCTGCGGGGAGAGGGAGGCCAGGAGGGAGCTGCTGCTGGGGGGCGGCTGCGGGGCCGAGGTCATCAGGGCGCTGGTGCTGGAGTGCAGGGGGGCGGAGGTGGCTGCCAGGAGGCTGCTCATGGAGAGCTGGGACGAGCTGCTCATCTGCAGCCGCTGCAGCTCCCGCTTCTGCTGGATCTGCTGCATCATCTGGAACACCAGGGCCTGCTGCTCCTGCAGGGGAGGGCAAGGAAGAGGGAAAAAAAAGGAGGGACGAAGGGCTCAGGAAGAGGGGACACCTAACACAAAGGAACCAGGAGCCACCTCGGCACGCTCCATCCCAGGCAATGCTGCTGGGGACAGGGAGAAAGCCCCCTTGATCACATCTCTGCAGGTAGAGAGAGGAGCAGCCTGGCTGGTGCTCATTAACAGCCTGTGCTGATGACCTTTCCAACCCCGCTGTTTCCTGCAGCGCAGGATTAGCAAACCCTCCCCGAGACACCTGCAGGCACACAAATCCGCTCAGCTTCCCAATCAGCCGACCCGCGGGTTTTAAAGCTGTGCCATTCACTACCCTCAATTTCTAGATCGGCTGCTAATTTCCTTCCCGTCCCGCTCCACAGCTCAGTCCTGACCCATCGGGTCGGTGTAGCTGAGACCCCCAGGGGGTGACGAGGGCCACGGCTCACCTGCACCCCAAGGGACGCCCCCGAATCCAACCAAACTGCGCAAATCACTATAGCAACCATCGACCGATGCAGCAGGCTGAGAGCTGACATTGTTCCCGTGCCCACAGGGATGCAGCTGATGACACGGTGACATCAGCTGCTGTCAAGAGAAGCCCTTTGAAATTTGCTTTTCCCGGGTTATAAATAGCCTGACCCAGAAATCTACCCAAGCTCAGGGGAGACATAAACGAGCACAGCTCCATTGACGGGCACTGCAAGCGCTCCCGCGCAGCTCCAGCGCAGGGGAGGGCCACCACGGAGGTGTCTGCAGGGCGAGTGAATGCGGTTTTACACACTCAAGGCCTTGTTTAGCATCCACCCATGCAGCCATTCCCACAGCAGCTAGGGATGGGGCTGCTGTTTAACCCCAGAGGATGCAGGCAGAGAGCCAATGTCCTCCCAAAAGCCGCCTGATCCTTCTGCTGACCCCAAAGTCCTCAGCACCAACACGTTACAAGTCCCCTTGCACCTCCATCGTGTCAGTGCACCAGGACACAGCTCACCTGCCCCAGGACTACGCAATTTGGTGTTCATCTCTTCCTAAACATAAGCAGGGTCCTCAAGTGAGCTCCTCTGCTCCTGTGGGCCTTGGCACATCTGCACACTCAGCGACCAGCATGCTTGTGGCAGCAGGAGCGGCCGTGATTTGCATTCAGAGACGGCCAGAGGAGGTAACAGCACTTCCGATATCACAGCAGCTTAGCGTTACCATGTTCTCACATCCTCAGGATGTGAGAAACCCAGATTAAATTTTTGCCTTTGTACAAAGAAAGTTCAAATCCCCATCTCCCTCCCTCCAGGAGGTGCCGCACCTTCCTGCCTAAAGCTTCTCTCCTTACTCCACCCACAGCAGCCCACGGCCAAGGAAAAGGCTCATGACTGCAGCCCCGTGGGCAGGGAATTCGTGTGAAGGAGGGAGCTCTGAGCTTTCCTCTCCGCTCCAAAGCTCTCCCATTAAACAGCTCACCAGATAAAAGGTGCCAGCAGGCACACTTACCGGATTAAGCGGCTGGGAAGTCAGGAGCTGCTGAAGCTGCTCGGGAAGTCGGGAGCTGCTGAAGCTGCTGGAGCTGCTGCTCGTGCTGGTGCAAGACGTGCCGCTGCTGCTCCGTCAGGGGACTCAGGCTGGGCACGCTGCAAGGGGAGCAAGGGCAGGGCAGGTGAGCGCAGCCCATCTTGGTCCTGCGTCCGTGGGGCCTCCCTCCCTCCCTCCCTCCCTCCCGGTGCTAAGCTTCTGCTGGAGAGGGCAGGGCTGGCCCCGCGAGCTCCCCGTCCTCACCTGCTCAGGCTGGTGGAGAGCTGCAGGGTCGGAGGCCCGCTCGCCTGCGTCAGCGCGCTCGGAGGCTGGGCCTGAGCTCCGTTCAGATTCCCCAGGATCCCGTTGATGGGCATCTGCGGGCCTCCTGCCAGGGTCCCCATCAGGCCGTCCACCATGGGCACCGTGGAGAGGCTGTGGCCGGCACTGGTGCCTCCCCCCAGCCCGCTGCCTGCCACCCTGGCCAGGCCATTCACCTGCTGCACCCCGGGTAGGGGTAGCGAGGCAGGACTCTGCTGCAGCATGGGCAGGGGCGGAGGAGTGCTGTGGAAGGACAGGGAGGAGCTGCTCCTGCTGGGGCAACCTGAATGAGGGTCCTGGGGGAGAAACGGACAGAAGAGCATCGCACTGGGGCAGCTTGAGAAAGGTCAGCTCAGCCCCGGGGGTGCTATGGGCAAAAGCCAGAGGTGGGAAGGGCGGGCTGTGAGTGCAAGTGCAGGTGTGAGCTCAGAGGGGTCCCAGAACTCAGACGTGCTCTGCTGGAGCTCTAGAGGTGCGGCCAGAATAACCTAGGGGTGTTCTCACCTCATGCTACTCTGCTCAGGCTCTCAGCACTGAGATGAACTGAAGAAAGGGCACTCCAGAGAAAGAAACCTGATTTCTGAGCTGGATATCGAGTCAGAGGACTGGGACTGCACTGCTCTGCTCCCTCCCCGAGTCCCTTCCCCAGCTGGCTGGCGGATGCAGTGGCCAGTATACCTCAGAGGACGTGGAGAGAGAGTTCTCGATCCCAAAGCTGTTCTTGCAGGGGGGGCTCTTGGTGATGCTCAAGGAATCGTTGTTGCAGACTGTACGGAGGGAAGAAGTGAGGACGCAGAGTCAGGGGTGGAGCCTGACGTTATCACAGCAAAAGCAAGGGACAGCAGATATTGCCAGTGGCTACAGAGAGAGAAATGAGTCCAGATCCTCCCCACTGCGACCCCCCCTGCCCACCCCAGGGCACCGCTATGAAAGGGCACAGGGTGATGCTCCCCACCGGTCCCCTCACCGTTGGGAGGAAGGATGTACTGGGCCTGGCTGCCTGGGCCGTTGCTGCTGGTCACCACGGGGAAGGGGACAGAGAGCTGGACGTTGAGGAGCTGCAGACGCTCCTTCTTGGCCGTCAGCGTCATGATCTGCTCCTGGAGCCGCTGGTTCTCCTTCTGCAGCGAGTGCAGGGCTTTGAGCATCTCTACAACTGCAGGGAACAGAAGGGGGAAGGGGGACAGGGTCGGGGGAGAGGATGGGGATGGAAGAAAGGGGAGAAGGGGATCCACAGGAGGTACCAGAATTAGACCACACTGGAGGAGGAGACTGGTCCCAGCTCACAGTCTCACTGCCAGCTACTCCCCCATGGCACAGACTGGCGCTTTGTCCCCCACTCGGCTTCTTTGCCAGCGGGCAAAATCCCAGCTGGCTCCCACACGAGCACGCACAAGGACCTCTCCTCCTCCCACAGCCCATGTCCTGAGTGACTGACTCACTGTTTACGCCGGCTTCTCCATTGCCCTGCTTCTCCAGGAGCTGCTCGATGTTCGGGGTGGCCTGGGGAACATTCTCCAGCTGCCCGCTGCTGCTGCAGGACACGGTCTGGTCGAAGAGGGTTGGCAAGCTGCTGATGGGGGACCTGGGGAGGGGTAGAGGAGATGTCAGAGATGCTTCCCTGCTCTGCACCTGCACCCTCCAGCTCCCTGCACC